GCATGTGCTACCATGCCCGGTTGATTTTTTGATTTATTGTAGAGATGAGGTCTCACCTGCCCAGGCGGGTCTCGAACCTGCTCGGTTTTTTTTTGAGTCAGGATCTTACTCTGTCACCCAGACTGGAGTGCGGTGGCACGATCATGGCTTACCGCAGCCTCAACTTCCTGGGCACAAACAATCCTTCTGCTCAGCCACCTGAGTAGGTGGAACTATTGGCATATGCCACCACGCCAGGCTAATTTTAAAACATTTTTTTGTAGAGATGAAGTCTTACTATGTTGTCCAGGCTGGTCTTGAACTCTTGGGCTCAAGCAATCCTCCCACCTCGGTCTCCCAAAGTGCTGGGATTACATACAGGCCTGAACCACTGTGCCTGGCTGTAATTTTCTCTTTTATGACTGATTTTGAACGCTTCCTATCATAAGAGTGTGCTATACAAATAGTTCATAAACATTCAGATTTTTTTTCCTCAGCTAAAACTTGCTCATTAAACATTCAGATTCTTTTTTTTTTTTTTTTTTGAGTTGGAGTCTCACTCTGTCACCCAGCCTGGAGTGCAGTGGCATGCATTCAACCTGCTGGGCTCAGGCGATCCTTCTGCCTCAGCCTTCCTAGTAACTGGAACTACAGCTGTGCGCCACCAAACCTGACTAATCTTTTGGATTTTGCAGAGACAAGGTCTTGCCGAGTTGCCCTGGCTGGTCTCGAACCCATGGGCTCAGGCAGTCCTCTCACCTCAGCCTCCCAAAGTGCTGGGATTACAGGTGTGAGCCACTGCACCTGGCTAACATTCAGATTCTTAAGGGAAAAAAAGAAAAGAAACCTCCGTGGTCCCCTGCAAGAGACATGTCTGGTGGCATAGTTTCTATAAAAATAGGACTTTATTGTACTACATAGGTTTGGAGTGAGCCAGGGCTCCAGGCAGAAGCTGAGAGAGGGATTTGGATGGGGGTGATGGTGCAGTCTTCGGTGCTGCTGGAGAGGGACAGGAAATACGAGACCAGAATCCCAGCTCTGACCTTCCTTCTTAAATATGTAGAACCTTCTGGAAGGCTCCTATCACCTTTGCCAAGTAGCTGGTCCTCTTTGGGGCAGACTGGTCACCTCCCAGCCTCAACATGGCGCCCCAGAGGGCAAACCTTGGCCAGTTTGCAGCATTGCCCTTCCTTTTGAGGGGCGGGGAGGCGAGGGGTGACAACCTGGTTGACGTCCTCCTTCCTCCAGGCAGATGGCTCGGTGAGTTGTAAGAGGACAGACTGCGTGGACTCCTGCCCTCACCCCATCCGCATCCCTGGACAGTGTTGCCCGGACTGCTCGGCAGGTAACCCCCAGCTGGTAACCCCTGGCTCAGCCCCCACCCCCAAGGCAGGAATGCTCATGGGGTTTCCATCCAGGTCACCCTGCACCGGGCTGCCCTGTGCTAAACCCGAGTCACCTCCTACATCAGCCCCAAGGGGTGGTCCAATTCTACGAAGGAGGAAACTGAGGCTCAGAGAGGCGAAGCAGTTTGCCCAAGGCAGGCCCTGTCTGGGTGCTGGAGGCAGATGAGAAGACACACGGCTTACAGCCTGGGGGCACGAAGCAGGAACTTGACCTGTGAAGCATGGGGAGTGGTGAGGGGAGATGAACGTGACAGCTGATGTATTTATTTTTTATTTATTGCTTTTTTTTGTCAGGGCCGCACTCTGTCACCCAGGCCAGAGTACACGGGCATGACCACAACCCACTGCATTCTTGACTTTCTGGGCTCAGGCAAGCCTTCTGCCTCAGCCTCCCAAGTAGGCACCCGCCACCACACCTGGCTAATTTTTAAATTTTTGTAGAGACAAGGTCTCACTATGTTGCCCAGGCTGGTCTTGAACTCCTGGGCTCAAGTGATTCTCCTGCTTCAGCCTCCTAAAATGCTGAGATTATAGGTATGAGCCACCTTACCTGGCCAACAATTTACTTTTTAGTAGTGGGATTTTTACCTTTTCCATGATTTCAGAAGTGACATTTTGTGGTAGAAAACAGAAATCAAAAATCAAAAAAGTGTTAAAGGACTCATTATCACCATTACCTTTGTGGTTATGTCCTAGTCTCTCTGTGACACACACATACAACGTTTAATAGATGGATATTGTTTCTTATAAAACCTTCCCCTACTGTCTCGTTACCTGCTTTTATACTTACCAGTATAAAAATGTGATACGTGCCAGGCATGGTGGCTCACGCCTGTAATCCCAGCACTTTGGGTGGCCAAGGCAGGAGGATCACTTGAGCCCAGGAGTAGGAGACCAGCCTGAACAACATATCAAGACCTCGTACTACAAAAAGTTAGCTGGGCATGGTGATGTGCGCCTGTAGTCCCATCTACTTGGGAGGCCGAGGTGGGAGAATCACCTGAGCCCAGGAGGTAGAGGCTGTGGTGAGCCATGGTCACGCCCCTGCACTTCAGCCTGGGCAACAGAGTGAGACCATGACTCCAAAAAAAAGTGATAGGTGATAATACTGTGAAGGTGGCATCATTCAGATGGGGCCTCTGAGGTGTTGGGACTTAGAGAGGGAAGCATTCTGGACAGGTGGGGTTTGGAGTTTTGCCCAGCAGGGCGGCATAGGGGATGTGGGGGAGACGGCCGCGAGGTCTTGTGTACACCTGGTATCTCCAGATCCCTCCGCCTGATCCCACCTGGGAGGGGTCGAGAAGGAGTCTCCCCCTCTCTGGGTTGACAGCCCTAAAGACCAAGACCCTGCAATCCCTTTGCTGAATCCAACACCTGATTCATACACTCAGTTCTGGCAATGTCTGGTCCCTTCCCTGACCCCCGGGGTGACTGCCTGGCAGGCGCATGGCCTGACTCTCATTCTCCAGAGAAGTCTCCAACCTTTGCCCCGACTGGCACTCACTGCGTGCTCTCTGTGGCAGGCTGCACCTACATGGGCAGAGTCTTCTTCAACAATGAGACCTTCCCGTCTGCACTGGACCCGTGTCTGAGTTGCATCTGCCTGGTACGGACCACCCAGACCCAACCCCCTTCTGTGGAAACTTCCCAGTGACTGACATCAGCTCCTGAGCCCCAGAGGCAAAATCCAGATGTCTGGAAGAGAGAGGGTCGCTCCTAGTTCATGGTGAAAGTCAGCTAGCTCCCTCCAGGCCTGCTGGGGTTAATGTTTAGACTGCACCAGAGAAATATTTATTGATTGGTTTTTTTTTGAGTCAGGGTCTCACTCTGGTGCCCAGACTGGAGTGCGGTGGCACAGTCATGGCTCACTGCAGCCTTGACCTCTTGGGTTTAGTTGATCCTTGTATCTCAGCTTCCCAAGTAGCTGGGACTATAGGAGTGTACCACCACACCCAGCTAATAATATTTTTTTTGTAGAGACGAGGTCTTGCTATGTTTCTCAGGCTTGTCTCAAGTGCCTTGGCTCAAGCAATCTCCCATCTCAGCCTCCCAAGGTGTTGGGATTACAGGCGTGAGCCACTGTACCCAGCAAATACTTTTAACCTTGGCCAGCAAAAATCCTCTGCTTCTGGGTTACCAGGGAGTCTTGGGGGCTGGTTCCTCAGAGCTTAAACGAATCCTGGGGATTCTTGCCGAGGGTAGAGGGGAGGTGCTCAAACCCAGGGCTCTGAACTGGAATCTTCTCAGTAGATACATTGTGAAGCCAGTCCTGTTCTAGGCCCCTGATAGGCATGGACCTGGTTCATCCACTCGAGAATTTTATAGGGTAGGTACTACCATCATCCCATTCTTCTAGAGAAAACTGAGACACAGAGAGACAAAGTCATTTGCCCAAGATCTCACAGCTGGTTAATCCAAGTGCCAAGAATTCTAATATTTTTCTTTTGGAGATGAGGTCTTGCTACATTTCCCAGGCTGACCATGAATTCCTGGGCTCAAGCAGTCCTCTCACCTTGGCCTTCCAAAGTGTTGGGATTACAGGCATGAGCCACCGCGCCTGGCCAGAATCCTAGTATTCTGACTCTGGGGTGTACATTGGTATCCCTGAGTCACACTGCCTCTCAGTCTGAAAAGGCATGCTAGAGGGAAGCATCATTTGGTATTTGGAAAATGAAAAAAAAAATCCTTATTGCGAGTCACACTGAAACTATTGAAGTTGGGCAGAGCTCTTCCACTGGTGGTGGGTGCAGACACCGTATTTTCGTGGTGTCTGGGTGAGCCTTGGTGGTAAGGCACATGGTCCACAGAAAGATCAAGAAGCTCAAGTCAGCATCCTCGTGGTTGTTTCCATTCACAGGGGTGTTGACCCTGAGTGACTCCTGCACATTGGCCCCATCTGGTCACAGCCGCGTGCTTCGGAGAGATTTGGCCACTGGGTTTCTCTTGGTTTCTTGGGTTTTGGTGGATGCCTCTTCCCGGGCTGTTCATGCGACAGGCACCTGTTGATGGATGAATTCTGCCGACAAGGCCAGGCCCTTGTCCTTGTGGGACTTGTGTTCTAGCGGGATGAGGGACCCTCACCGAGTAGGTGCCACCGCCCCGCCGTGGATCAGTCGCTCTGATGGCCACTCGGTGGCCTCCTGACCTATGCCTTCCTGAGCGTCTCGTCAGCTGCCCTGAACGGAGGGCCTTGTGTGTCTTCTGTGTCATGCAGCTGGGCTCTGTGGCCTGCTCGCCCGTGGACTGCCCCATCACCTGCACCTACCCTTTCCACCCTGACGGGGAGTGTTGCCCGGTGTGCCGAGGTGAGTGACTCTAGCCAGTGTTGCCCGGTGTCCGAGTGTTGTCCCGTGTCCAAGGCTCCTGGACAGGCCTTGTGCTCATGGACCCCTGTTCCCTCTGCTTCCTCAGACTGCAACTATGAGGGCAGGAAGGTGGGGAACGGCCAGGTGTTCACCTTGGACGATGAGCCCTGCACCCGCTGCACGTGCCAGGTGAGCTGGGCCTGGGAGCCTGGGGCCGCCTGGCCAGGAACGCTTCTTGCCTTTTTCCCTTTCACAACAGCTGGAGCCCCTTAGTCAATAGAAGTCCACTCTCCTGCTGTCTGTCACCATTTTTCTTTTGAGTTGGAGTCTCACTCTGTCACCCAGGCCAGAGTGCAGTGGCACGCCCACAGCCACCGCAGCCTCAACCTGCTGGACTCAGGCGATCCTTCCACCTCAGCCTTCTGAGTAGCTGGAACTATAGGCGCGTGCTATTACATCTGGCTTATTTTTTGATTTACTGTAGAGATGAGTTCTCACCAAGTTGCCCAGGCAGGTCCTGAACCCCTGGACCCAGGCAGTCCTCTCATCTTGGCCTCCCAAAGTGCTGGGATTACAGGCTGAGCCACTGCACCCGGCCCCATCTGTCACTTTTAACTAATGATCCTCTTTGACCCTCTCCTCCCTAATATGGAATTCCAGAAGGGGAATCATTTTTCTTTCTTTCTTTCTTTTTCTTTTTATTATTTTTTGAGTTGGAGTCCCACTCTGTCGCCCAGGCTGGAGTGCAGTGGCACACTCACTGCCACCACAACCTCGACCCGCTGGGTTCACGTGATCCTTCCGCCTCGGCCTTCCGAGTAGTTGGAAACACAGGCACGCACCACCATGCCTGGCTAACTTTTTGTTTTACTGTAGAGATGAGGTCTCGCCAAGTTGCCCAGGCTGGTCTCGAAACCCTGGGCTCAAGCAATCCTCTTGCCTCCACCTCCCAAAGTGCTGGGATTACAGTTGAGAGCCACTGTGCCTGGCACTTTATATTTTTTTGAATTAGGATCTTGCCCTGTTGTCCAGGCCAGAGTACAGTGGCTTGATCACAGCTCACCTCAGTCTCAAACTTGTAGGCTCAAGTGGTTCTCTTGCCTCAGCCTCCTGGGTAGCTGGGACTATAGGTGTGCACCACCACACCTGGCTAATTTTTTGGTTTTTTTCATGGCATGAAGTCTCACCATGTTGCCTAGGCTGGTCTCAAACTCCCAGCTTCAAGTGATCTTCCCACCTTATCTTCCCAAAGTGCCGGGATTACAGGTGCGAGCTGCCATGCCCAGTCAGAAGTGGTTTTCTTAAGGCTGCCCTGCTGTGGTTGGCTTCAACTGTCCTCTAGGTGAGGATCCTGGCACTGAAGCCTCTGTCCCAGGATCTTCCCACGGTCCCTTGCAAATGTAGGAAGCCCTTGAGGGCACTGGGCTTTCTCACGGGTATCCTTTTGCTTCCCCAGCTGGGAGAGGTGAGCTGTGAGAAGGTCCCCTGTCATCAGGCCTGTGCTGACCCCTCCCTGCTTCCCGGGGACTGCTGCTCTTCCTGCTCAGGTAAGGAGGCCTCTGGACCTGGAGTTTCACCACTATCTTCCTCCCAGAAACTTTGAATTTGTAAAGGACTGGATGTGAGATACCCAGGCTCAGAGAGGGAACATGGCTTGTTCATGTTGCATAGCACAGCTGTCTAACCTTGTCTACCTCGTCCAGTGCTCATTATATCACACCATGATGTGTCCTCTGACATGTTTATTTACGGTTCTGTTTCGTCTTTGTCATCTCCTTCCTTAATCTCTTCCTCTGCATTGGTCTTTATTTTATGGTTTGAATTGGAATCTTACTCTGTTGCCCAGGCTGGAGTGTAGTGACGCAATCACGGCTTACCGTAGCCCCCCGATCCTTCTGTCTCAGCCTCCTGAGTAGTGGGGACTACAGACTTGCACTGCCATGCCTGCCTAATTTTTTATTTTTTATTTAATTATTTATTTTTGAGTCGAAGTCTCACTCCGTTTCCCAGGCTGGACTCGGGCAATCCTTCCATCTCAACCTTCCAAGTAGCTAGGACTACAAGCGCACACCATCACACCTGGCTAATTTTCTGATTTATTGTAGAGATGAAGTCTCTCCAAGTTGCCCAGGTTGGTCTCAAACCCCTGGACTCAGGTAATCCTCTCACCTTAGCCTCCCAGAGTGCTGGGATTACAGGTGCGTACCACTGCACCTAGCTAATTTTTAAATTTTTGTGGAGATGAGGCCTCTCTATGTTGTCTCAACTGGTTTCGAATGCTCACGCTCAAGCAATCCTCCCACCTCAGCCTCCTAAAGTGCTGGGGTTACAGGCGTGAGCCACTGTGCCTGGCCCAACTTTATTATACAATAGTCCTTGAGTGGTCTGGTGCAGTGGTTCATGCCTACAATCCTAGCACTTTGGGAGGACGAGGTGAGAGGATTACCTGAGCTCAGGAGTTCGAGACCAGCCTGGGCAACATAGTGAGACCTCGTTTCTACAATAAATAATAATTTTAAAAAAACAGGCTAGGTGGCACATGCCTGTAGTCCCAGCTGCTTGGAAGGCTAAGGCGGAGGGATTGCCTGAGTCTAGCAGGTTGAGGCTGCAGAGGCCGAGAGATCGTGCCAGTACATTCCAGCCTGTGTGCGACTCCAACTCAAAAAAAAAAAAGTCTTTGCATGAGATTATTTGCCCGACTGTAGGCCAAAGGATGTGTTCTGATCACGGCTAAGGTTGGCCATGCTCTGGTGTTGTATAGGTTGAGTGTATTTGATGCATTTTTAGCTGACGGTGGGTTTATTGGGCTGCAGCCCTGTGGTGAGTCAAGGAGTATCTGAAGTTCTTTCCACTTTGTATAGAGCCTCTATGATGTGCCAGGCCCTTGGCTGAGACTTAAGTTTTTTTTTTTTTGAGTTAGAGTCTTACTCTGCTACCCAGGCAGGAGTGCAGTGGCACGAGCACGGCTCACCACAGACTTGACCGCCTGGGCTCTAGCGATCCTTCCTCCTAAGCCTCCTGAGTATCTGGGACTACAAGCGCATGCTAATTTTATATTGGTTTATTGTAGAGACAAGGTCTTGCTATGTTGGCCAGGCTGGATTCAAACTTCTGGGCTCCAGCAACCCTCTCCTCTCGGCCTCCCAAAGTGCTGGGATTATAGGTGTGAGCCACCGTGACCAGCAAAAAGTTTTTTAAAAATAAATTTTAGCCAGGCTCGGTGGCTCAGCCTGTAATTCCACGCTTTGGGAGGCTGAGGTGAGTGGATTGCCTGAGCCCGAAGGTTCGAGACCTGCCTGGGCAACTTGGCGAGACCTCATCTCTACAACAAATCAAAAAATTAGCCGGGTGTGATAGCGCACGCCTGTAGTTCCAGCTACTTGGAAGGCTGAGGCGGAGGGATCGTCGGAGCCCAACAAGTTGAGGTTGCGGTGGCCGGGAGCGTGTCACTGTACTCCAGTCTGGGCGACAGAATGAGACTCCAACTCAAAATAAATAAATAAATAAATAAAATAAATAAATAAACTTTGCTGAGTGCAGTGGCTCATACCTGTAATCCCAGCACTTTGGGAGAGTGAGGAAAGAGGATTGCCTGAGTCTAGGGGTTTAGCCTGGGAAATAGGTGAGACCTCGTCTCTACAATAAGTCAAAAAATTAGCCGGGCATGGCAGTGCAAACCTGTAGTTCTAGCTAACTTGAAAGGCTGACGTGGAAGGATCCCCTGAGTCCAGCAGGTCGTTAATGCTGGGGTGGCCGTGAGCTTGCCACTGCACTGTAGCCTGGGTGACAGAGTGAGATTCCAACTCAAAAATAAATAAATAGAGTGTAATTCCAACCCAAAAATAAACAAACACACTTAACTTTGGTTTTTTTTTTTTTTTTTTTTTTGAGTCAGGGTCTCACTCCATCACCCAGGCTGAAGTGCAGTGGCATGATCACAGTGCAGCTTCAACCTCCTGAGCTCAGGCAATCCTTCTGCCTCAGCCTCCTGAGTAGCTGGGACTAGAGGTGTGCACTGCCATGCCTAGTTAATCTTTTAAAAAATTATTTTTGTAGAGATGTAGTCTCACTATGTTGCCTAGGCTGGCCTCAAGCTCCTGGGCTCAAGCAATCCTCCTACCTCAGCCTCCCAAAGTGCTGTGATTATAGGTGTGAGCCACTGTGCCTGGCCGCTTTTCTCTTGTTAGCCAGTCTTTTATTATAGGAGTGTTGGCCGTGACCCTTACGATGGGTGAGGAAACGGATCACGCCTTTTCACTCTTACAGAAACAAGCCAGTGACAGCAGCATAAAGTGACAGCTGACATTGGGAAGTTCCACCACCACAATCTTGAGCCTTTTCCTATAAGGCAAACAATCCAACTTATTCCCAAGACCCTTAAAAACCTCACTGCACCACAGCCAAGCACAGGTTAGGAAGTGGAAGTGTTCACCCTACGATCCCCTCAAAATGGTCCAAATTACAGGCAGCACAAGCGCCATAAGAAGGCTCCAGGTCTGTCATGGCCACAACACCTGACACAGTGCTAGGCACATAGAAGGCCCTGAATTAACAAATGTCTACTTAAAGAATGAAACCAATTTTCACAAGTAAACTCCTTGCCTCTTTTGCCACTATTTCCAGAAAAAGGACTCAGGATGTTTAGTTTCAGAAAGCAGTGGAGGGTGAACACATTTGGAAAAGCTTCCAAAAGTATGGATACCCCAAGGGGGCAAGTGTCCACTAAATCACTGGTGTGAGACCACTAATGTCCCAACGATGTCTGATAAACAGGAAATAACTTTATCAAGATGAGGAGTTGATTGCCAGTGGCCCAGTTCCTCCCAACTGCCCCCACTCCAAACATCTCTGGTGTCACTCTTCTCTCTCTTCTGTGCCTGTTCTCTTGATTTTCTGGTCTTTCATCTCCCTCTCCTTCTCCTGCCCCTCCTTTCTTCCCCTGTCCTTCTCATGCCCTCAGCCTGCCAGTCATTCCCAACTTGTCCCTTTCCACCCACCCAAGCACACCAGGTCAAGTCCTTCCTGAGGCCATCAGATAGAGAGATTGCTCCCCACATACAGGTGGAGAGATTGTACCCCTATACCCAAACAAAGTGCCTTCAGTAGACAAGCCCCTTTGTCTACCTTCAGTCTACAAAAGGAAACTCACCTAGAACCAAATACTTTCCTTTTCTCATTTCTCAATTTCTTTCTTTCTTTCTTTTTTTTTTTTTTTTTTTGAGTTGGAGTCTCACTCTGTCGCCCAGACTGGAGTGCAGTGGCCGCTCCCAGCCACTGCAGCCTCAACCCACTGGGCTCCAGCAATCCTTCGGCTCAGCCTTCCGAGTAGCCGGAATTACAGGCATGCGCTAACATGCCCAGCCGATTTTTTGATTTATTGTAGAGATGAGGTTTTGCTGCCCAGGCGGTTCTTGAACCCACGGGCTCAGGCAATCCACTCACCTCAGCCTCCCAAAGGCACGGGATTACAGGCTGAGCCACCGAGCCCGGCTCACACTTAACTTTTTAGAACAATTTCAGGTTTATTGCAAAACTGTGTGGAAGGTACAGAGAGTTCCCATACACCCCTGATTCCACACACCCCCAGGTTCTCCCACTGTCCTCTGCCCACACCAGTGTGGCATATCAGTGAACCTATGCTGATGTGTCATTGACACCAAAGTCTGCAGCTCACATTATGGTGTAGGCTGAGTCTCCATGCACTTTTCCCCTCTGATCTCAGTCCATCTTGTGATGCCCGTTTTACAGATGGGGAAACCAAGGTCCAGGGAAGTCGCGTGCTGTGTGCAAGGGCACGTGGCAAACCGCCTCCCTCGGTTCATGACTCCCTTCAGTCTTCTCTCCCTGGAGGCAGGAGCTGGCTGGTCCTCACTGGGTGTGCTGAGGTTCCCCCCGGGGAACAGAGCTTGGGTGTCTGTTCCCGCACAACTTGTCCCAGCACCATTTTGGCCAGGGGGGAGAGCTGTTGCGCGTCTCACTTCCCTCCTTTCTCTAGAGACCCTGTCGCCACTGGAAGAACGGCAGGGGCTCTCCCCTCAGGGAGACGTGTCCTTCAGCAAAGCGACTCGGAGCCCCCGTGGAGATGCCGAGATCCCCATCCACTGTGGCTCCTGCCTGGGGCACCCCACAGCCACCCCCCAAAGGCCGATGCTCCATCTCTTCCAGCTCCTCTTGAGAACGAACTTGTCTAAGGCACAGACTTTGCCAACAAACCCCTCAGGGTCTCAGGCCCCTCCCTCGCCCCCTTTGGGGCCAGTGGGTGTTTCCCCAAGGGAGCCAGGGGCCTCCCCGTTCCCTCAGCTCTCTCCAGGGCCTTTGATCCCTCTGGGGAACCACACTCTACCTCCAGCCTCCCAGAGAGCTTCTCAGCTTCCTCTTGTGACACCAGAGCGCTCCTTGTTGGCCTCGGGGGCCCAGACAGCATCCAGGTGGCCTTCTCTGCCTGCTACCCACCTGACAGAAGCTTCGGCACTTTCCACGACGGACCCCAGCCCCTCGGAGACATCAGCCTCCTCAGGCCTCGCTCACTCTCTCCTACCACCCCCAGACTCTCTGTAGCCCCCACAGGTTCCACCCGCCCCGGGCCCCAGCAGTCCACAGTGGGAACCTCCCAGGGGGAGGAATCCACCGCGTAGGAATGTCACCGTGCAAGGCGGCTCCAGGGACAAACTTGGCGCTTAAAGCTGCACTCACTCCCGCAGGGCTCCTGGCGGGATTGGGTAAATCCCTATGCTGCACCTTGCTACAACAAGGATGTAACCTGGTTGCCAAAAAGCATTTGGAATGTGCCAGAAGAATTAAGCAAATGGCCAGGCGCTGTGGCTCACACCTGTAATCCCAGCATTTTGGGAGGCCGAGGTGGGAGGATCACATGAGCCCAGGAGTTTAAGACCAGCCTAGGCAACATAGCAAGACCTCATCTCTAAAAATAAAAAAATTATCCAGCATGGTAGTGCACAGCTATAGTCCCAGCTGCCTAGGAAGCTGAGGAGGAAGGATCACCTGAGCCCAGGAGGTCAAGGCTGCAGGGAGCTGTAATCATGCCACTGTACTCCAGCCTGGGCAACCGAGTAAGACCCATCGCAAAAAGAAAATAATTAAGCAAATGGTGCTCTCCTTGGTCAGCATCCTCTCCAGATCCCATGGCCTTGGCCAGCTGGTCTTTTGGGAAAGGTCAGGGCTGCCAAACTCTCTCCTGGAGGATATGGGTCACATGGGGCTGGGATTCCACGGGGCCTGCACTGCCAGCCATGATGTGTTGTCCTCTGAGGTTTCCTGATTAAAAGTTGTCTTGGTCTCCCCAGCTGCCCAGCTCATTTACTGCTCACCCATGGGAAGGTGGGAAATGCCCATGGGGGGGGGTTGGTAAACGAATTCCCAGTGGGGTCGGTGGGGGAGGGGTCCCTTGTAAGTACTTGGTGGCCTTTGACGCCATTACACTTCTTTTTTTTTTTGAGTTGGAGTCTCACTCTGTCACCCAGACTGGAGTGCAGTGGCTGCTCCCGGCCACCGCAGCCTCACCTGCTGGGCTCCGGCGATCCTTCCGCCTCAGCCTTCGAAGTAGCCGGAATTACAGGAATGTGCTACCACTCCTGGCTGATTTTTTGATTTATTGTAGAGATGAGGTCTCGCTGCTCAGGCGGGTCTCGAACCCGCAGGCTCAAGCAGTTCACTCACCTCAGCCTCCCAAAGGCGTGGGATTACAGGCTGAGCCACTGAGCCCGGCTAAGCCAGTATACTTCTAAAGTAAGATTGGAATCGGGTGCGGTGGCTCATGTCTATAATCCCAGCACTTGGAGAGGCCAAGGTGGGAGGATTGCTTGAGGTTAGGAGTTTGAGACCAGCCTGGGCAACACAGTCAGACCTTGTCTCTGCCAAAAGGTAGCTGGTTGTGGTGGTGCATGCCTGTAATCCCAGCTGCTCAGGAGGCTGAGGAGGGAGGATTGCTGAGCACAAAAGGTTGAGACTGCAGTGAGCTATTGTCATACCACTGCACCCCAGCCTGGGTCAGAGTGAGACCTCATCTCTTAAAAAAATAATAATAAAATGGAGTGAGGATGGAAAAGACGGCAGAGAGGACATTGGAGGTTGGGCTCCCCGAGAAGGAACCTCTGAGCTGAGCTCTCAGGAGGGTGGTTTCTTAGGGGAGTCCTGGGCATGAACCCCTGGGGCAGGTGGGGCAGCGGCAGGGCGGGAGAGCTGGGCTTCTGGGCAGTCCCAAAGCCTCAGCTAGCTCCCTGGGAGTTCTGAGGCTGGGATGGCCCTCTAGAGTCGCCCTGAGTTCAGCCCAGGGGACCGGCCTTGTGCTGCCCCAGGAAAGGAACTGGGGAAAGGCAGCTTTTCAGCCAGGGCCCCTCTGTGGATTAAACTGGGAGTGGCTCCAGCCACCTCTCAGCAGCTGGGGAGTCGGTCCTGATGGAGGGCTCGGGGCAGTGCAGCCAGAGTGTCCCTCACAGAGGGAAAGAGGACCATGCCATCATCGATGGGGGGAGGGAATTTGCGATGGGGGCCGGAAATCAGAGCTACGCCGTCCCCAAGTCACCACTTGCTACCATTGAAGCCCAGGGAGGCTGCTGAGTAGAAGGCAGCCTTGTTTCACGCTGCAAGGGCACCCTCTTCTGAGCCCTTCTCTGACCTCACCCAGGGCAAAGGCTCTGTGGAAGTGTTTGCTGGCTGCAAAGGCCATCTGGGCTCCTCCGGCTCACACGCTGGTATAAGCTTGGGTCCTGCTTTGAGTATAGTGGCAAGAGTCATGAATGTGGGCGTTCAGAGATGGAGAGGACTTGCAGATGCAGAGGAGTCTTACAGACTGTTTTGTCTAGCAGTTCACAAAGGAAGATGGTCAAGAGTGAAATCTGGGCGGTCCAGCACGGTGGCTCACGCCCGTAAGCCCAGCATTTTGGGATGCCGAGGCGGAAGGATTGCTTGAGCCCAGGAGTTCAAGAGCAGACTAGGCAATATGGCAAGATCTCATCTCTAAAAAAATAATATTAAAAAAAATTAGGCCAGGCTCAGTGGCTCAGCCTGTCATCCCAGCACTTCGGGTGACTGAGGCGAGTGAATTGCGAGTCTGTGGGTTTGAGACCAGCCTGGGCAACTTGGCAGAACCTCATCTCTACAATAAATGAAAAAATTAGCCAGGCGTCGTAGTGTGTGCCTGTAGTTCCGGCTACTTGGAAGGCTGAGGCATAAGGATCGCCTTAGTCCAGTAGGTTGAGGCTGTGATGGCCTTGAGCATGCCACTGCACTCCAGTCTGGGCAACAGAGTGAGACTCCAACTCAAAATTTTTTTGAAAATATTAGCCAGTGGTGGTATGTGCTTGTAGTTCCAGCTATATGGGAGGCTGAGGCGGAAGGATTGTCTGAGCCCAGGAGGTTGAGGCTTTGATGAGCTACCATTGTGCCACTGTACTCCTGCCTGGATGACAAAAGTGAGCCTCTGACGCAAAAAAGGAGGGAGGTGAGGCCCAGGAAGCCCAGATTTAAGCTGGCTGGAACAGCCGTAGGATCTTAGGTCTCTGCTTCCTTGTCTGGACAGTGGGAATAATAATGGTCCTTCCTCGGGAGTGTGACAATGATGTATGCTAATACCTCCGGGAGGTTCGGCAGTTTGTGTTTGGGACCTTGTAGCCCCAAGCTTGCTGCGGCCTGCCCAGCCTCCTGGTCCCACCCGGAGCTTCTCGAACAAGCCCAGCAGCCGATGGTAGTGGCTGAAATCAGTGTCAATTTTTTCATCATTATTCCTCTATTCAATAAATAGGTATACAATTTGTGTTTTTACATATATGTATGAGTGTGTGTGTGTGTGTGTGTGTATTTTTGAGCCAGAGTGTCACTCTGTTTCCCAGGCTGGAGTACAGTGGCACGTTCATGGCTCACTGTAGCCTCCACCTCCTGGGCTCAGGCGAGCCTTCTGCTTCAGTCTCCCCAGTAGTTGCGACTACAGGCACGTGCCACCACGCCTGGCTAATTTTTTGTAGAGATGGGATCTTGCTATATTGCCCAGACTAGTTTCAAATTCCTGGGCTCAAGCAACCCTCTTGCCTTGGTCTCCCAGAGTGCTGGGATGACAGGCGTGAGCCACTGTGGCTGGCCAGAGCCCATCTTCTGACTCTGATTCCAGGCTTTTTACCTTCTGATCTCATTTGATTAGATTCTTGTGCTGGAGTTCGGAGTGACAGTTGATGGCCACAGCTTTTAGGGTGAGGCGTCATGACTACCTTCTCTTGGTTTGTGTTCCCCCAAAAGCTGACCTGGAGAAAAGTATTTGTGTGCAAGTCAAGGGAAAACGACCCGTCATGGTGCATTTATGAGCTGGTCACTGCTATGGGCAGTTGGCCCTCGGTCTTTCTAGGGACCCTCCAGGAGGCTGTAGCCTACGCCTCAGGTTGCACTAAAAGTCATCTAGCGCCGGGCTCGGTGGCTCAGCCTGTGATCCCACGCCTTGGGAAGGCTGAGGTGAGTGGATTGCCTGAGCCCGCGGGTTCGAGACCCGCCTGGGCAGGCGAGACCTCATCTCTACAATAAATCAAAAAGTTAGCTGGGCGTGATAGTGCACGCCTGTAGTTCCAGCTACGTGGAAGGCTGAGGCGGAAGGCTCGCCAGAGCCCAGCAGGTCGAGGCTGCGGTGGCCGGGAGCGGCCACTGCACTTCAGTCTGGGCGACAGAGTGAGACTCCAACTCAAAAAAAAAAAAGTCATCTAGCCATCCCCTGAGGATGGGCATTTGGGGCGTGAAGATGCAGGGGTGGGTATCCCCCACTCTTGTCTCTCACTGGTTGAGCCTTGTCCTGGGCTGCTGACTCTCCGGCATGTCCAGCTGGCCTCACCCGAGACCTGAACTCGCCTCCCTTCTGCGCGATCCCAGGCCCAAGAAGGCTCTTAGGGAAGAAGAGCAGGAGCCCTGGCAGAGGGCTGGGGCTGTCCCTGGGGCCTGTAAGAGTGAGTTCTGCCCACGATCAGCCCGGTGTGCATGGCGCCCTACCCAGGGTTTGCTGGTACCAGAAGGCAGGAGATCCCCTAGACCCCCCCTGCTGGGCACGCAATGCTTTTGACGGGATGAGCCGCCCTGGCTTCTCGGCCGCCTGGGTTCCAGCAAGCAGGGTTGTTCTTGGACTGAGGTGGCTGGCATTTTCCTTCAGCTGGGGCTCCGTTTTAGGGTTCTGAGAAGCAGTGAGGGATGAAAGTAAGAGGTGAACAAGTCTGAAGACAAGTCATGGCAGGTTTCTCATTAAGACGTGCTTCCAGAACAGCGTTTGCAGACTTGCTGTGAATGTGTGGAACACCTTCGTCATGAAGCAGGTACAGTTGTCCTCAGTGAGAAGTCGGCCTGGCCCACATCTGCCCCCCTCCCCTGGCTGCCTCGCCCTCCTTGCCATGGCTGCTGGTTCTTGGGTGTCTTCTGCACTCCTTTATGCATATGCAAGGAAATCTCCCTCCCTCCCTCTTTCTTTCTTTTTCTTTTCTTTTTTTTCTGAGTTGGAGTCTCACTCTGTTGCCCAGGCTGGAGCACAGTCGCAGGCTCACGGCCACTGTAGCCTCCACCTGCTGGGCTCATGCGACCCTTCCACCTCAGCCTTCCAAGTAGCTGAAACCACAGACGTGTGCCACCACACCTGGCTAATGTTTTGATTGATTGTAAAGACGAGG